AAATACTTTTCAGATTTACTAACTTTTGAGGAACCCTAAGCAATATATTGGCTTCATACATGATTCATGAATTTCAGAATTCCCTGTACTGTTTCTTAGTTGCTCTTTTCTTAACCATCTGGAGTTACACTTTAAATTAGGCTCTTTCCTCATTTGATATAAATATATATCTCTAATTAAACACAGTATTTACTAAATTAGTTCAGACTTGTGCTGGTTAAATTGCATGATTTGCCTAAACTTGTGAATGAACTAAATGTTCTGTTGGCTGAATTATATGGTTATCTCAACCTCCTAAATGAACTAAATTTTCTCTGAAAATTTCCAGTATGGAATTGTTTGCCTAAGATGAGTTCTTATACTTTCTTCTTAAGAATATTGATTTTAGGGGCACCTGGGTGGCTTAGTCGTTAAGCATCTGCCTTCGGCTCAGGTCATGATCCCAGGGTCCTGGGATCGAGCCCCGCATCGGGCTCCCTGCTCTGCAGGAAGCCTGCTTCTCCCTCTCCCACTCCCCCTGCTTGTGTTCCCTCTCTTGCTGTGTCTCTCTCTGATAAATAAATAAAAATCTTTAAAAAAAATATTGATTTTAGAAAATGGTGTTTTCTAGATCATAAATTTTCTCTGAGAATAAAACTTGAATTTCTTATTTTGATTAATCTTTCTTTCTGTATAATATTTATAACCTTACTTTTAATATGTTGCATTAAGAATACTTACGTTTTCTATTACAAACATTCAAAATACATCCCCCAACATTTGAAAATTTTATTAAACAGGTTTTTCTGGGGCATCTGGCTTGTGCAGTCAGAGCATACCACTCTTGATCTCAGAGTTATGAGTTCAAGCCCCACATTGGGTACAGAGCTCACTTAATTAAAAAAAAAAAAGATTATTTAAACCCTTTTAAAACCAAAAAAGAACAAAAAAAGAAAGTTTTTCTAAGCTTTTACCCAAATTTCTTTGATTTGTTTTTTTTAAAGATTTATTTATTTAGAGAGAGGGAGAGAGAGAGCACATGTGCAAGTGGGGAGGGGTAGAGGGAGAGAATCTTCAAGCAGATGACTACCCGCTGAGCATGGAGCTCACTGTGGGGCTCAGTCTCATGACTCATGAGATCGTGACCTAACCCAAAACCAAGAGTCGGTCACTCAAATGACTGAGCCACCCAGGTGCCCCTCTTTGCTTTATTTTGAATAACTTTTAATTTTTTTCCCATTGATTTCCAGACTGCCATAGAGAGTATCTAGTACATGGCTATTTCTTTAATTCATTTACCAAGTTATTTTACTAATCATTGTAAAAAGTGGTAAGGATATAGTAAGAAATAAGGAATTTGGGTAAAAAAAAATAAGCAATTACAGCATAGTATTGCAGAAACTCTAAGGGATTTTATATTCTACCCTACTTGCAAGCTAACAAATTAGCCTGCCAATTTCGTACATACTAATAGAAGACACAGGACTCCTGGGTCAGAGAGACAGGACTTTAGTGTTTAGAACAAGCAGTAGCTAGAGTATTAGCATTTTCTTAGACTGATTCCCCAAACTCCACAGGGTGTTGTGGAGAGGACCAGGTGAAACCTGCTCATGCAGTGTGTTGCAGGAGAGAATTGCAGAGCTTAGGGAACTTGAATCTTTTATATTGGACAATAAGTATGTTTGCCTGCTGTTCTGGAGGGAGATACCATCTTAATCTTCTAAGACTGTAAGCATACTCACACTTTGTTCTAGGGGACCCCATATTTTTCAAGGCTATTCACTATAGTAACATCTTTGAAAAGACTATCCAGAACAAAGGCATTCAGTGCCTCTGCCCAGAAGATGTGCAAAAATGCAAAAGGCCAGTAGAGAATTATCTCCCAAATTGCTTTGAAGAAGCAAGTGGCAAAGAGATTCCGTATTAGTTGTCTATTGCTGCATAACAAATTACCATGACCATAGCAGCTTAAAACTGCACATATTTATTGTCTCACAGTTCCTGTGAGTCAGGGGTCTGTGAACATTCTAGCTTGATTCTCTGCTTTGGGTCTCCCAAAGTCCAGGTAAATGTTATCCAGGGCTGAATACTCATGTGGAGTACTCAACTAGGGAAGGATCTGCCTCCCCACTCATGGTGTTGGCAACATTTAGTTTCTTGCAACTGTAGGATTCGTGGCAGTTTATTTCTTCAAAGCTGGCAAGGTATAGAGAGATTGGAGAGAGGGATACAGAGAAGGAATAAATAGGGAGGAAATCACCAGTGATAGAAGAGGGTAAGTGAGTACCTATATACTTGTAGCAAGACAGCTCCTCCAAAGCAGAATTTCTCAACCTAGACATGATTGACATTCGGGCTGAATAATTCTTTTCCTGGCCTCTTATTCTATCTTTTCCCACTTTGGGTGGCTTTCTTACTCAGTATTGTGGAGTAGATGCTGTTGCTGTGCCACCCGCATCCCTTGCCATTCACTTTTGTACAGGGAAGTCTTCTTACTGCAAGCAGCTGAAACTTTCTGCCTGAGGACTTTATCTAACCACATGAGAAACTGGAGGGTAATCAGGAAGTGACTGCCCAGCAATAGGTCTTAACCAGGTTAATAAATACACCATTTTCCTTACCTCTGGAGACAGCTTCTGAAGCTTACTCTACACTATCTCAGAGGTCTCCAGCAGGAATGAGCCACGGTACCAAGCAGCGATACCCTGATCATCAGTGTATCCTGTATTGCTGCCCTTTCCTATTCTCTTGCCTTTTCAAATAAATTATTTGAATTACTTTTCAAATAAATTATTTGTCTCAAATTCTAATTTCTCAGAGTTGGCTTTTGGAGAACCTATCCTAGGTCAGTGGTGCCTTTTGATGAATAGAAGTTATTTTTTTTTATGATTTGGTATTTGTATGTATTGCAAAATGATCACCACAATAAGTCTAGTTAACATCCATCCTCATACACACTTAATTTTTTTTCCCTAGTGATGAAGACTTTTAAGATCTATTCTCAGCAACTTTCAAATATGCAATACAGTGTTATTAACTGTAGTCACCATGCTGTCCGTTACATCCTCATGACTTACTTATTTTATAACTGGAGGTTTGACCTCCTTCTTCCATTTTACCCACCCCCTAGCCCCTGCTTCTGGCAGCTCCCATTCTGTTCTCTGTATCTATGAGCTTGATTTTTTGTTTTTAGATTCTATATATAAGTGAGATCCTCATTGTCTTTTTCTGCCTTATTAGAAGTTCTTAATTTAAATGTAGCTTAGTTTATGTTTTTTCCTTTATAGTGGTTGTTGTATCCTACATAGGAAGTCTTTACCTACCCCAATGTCTTGATTGTACCCATGGGATTTTAATTTATGGAGATGACTAAGTGATGACATGGAGGTGGTAAGGCCATCAAAAGATTTGTATTACTTAAAATTTCTGAGAGGAGAGATCATGCCACATAGGGTCACATGGTCAGGAGCCAGAAGGAGTGAGGAGAAAACATCACAGAAGCCTTTGTTACTACTGTAGTGGGTAGTTATTAGGTGGGAATGTCCCCTACTGAGTAGGAAGTAAAACACAGATACTAAGAGTTTGTGGTTGCAGGGTTTGTAATATGATAATCTGTTCACCCACAAAAGCCAGACCATGGGAGAAATATAAACAACTTTGGCCATTAGTTTGGCCCTATGATTAATGTATGTCAGATCATTAATTATCAAATTTATAAAAGTTGGTTAGAACAGGGTAGTGAAGATACTTTTCTTTGTAATATTCCAGATGTTTTATTGTTTTACTTCTTGTATTTAGACCTATAATCCATATGGAATTGATATTTGTATGTGGTGTGAGGAAGGGGCCACATTTCCTTTTTTTCATACAGATCCATAATCTTATTGGCACCATTTATAGAAAAAAAACTGTCCTTTCCCCATTACTCTATAGTCAACCTTTGTCATAAATGAAATGTTTGGGTTAAATCATATGTTTGAGTCTGTTTCTAGACTCCTTATTCTGTTCCATTGGTTGCTCTGTCTGTCCTTGTGCTGATGCTACAGTTTCTTACTTACTCTAACTTTATTATATAGGCTGATATTCATTAGAGTTAGTCCTTCTACCTTCTTCTTCAAGGGTAAATTGATATTTTTGTAAGAAATTCTCCTTTGGTAATAGGGATGATAGTTGTCTTCTGTTTGGTGAATATTATTTATTTTTAATCTTCCAGTTTCAGAGACCCATTGTGAGAGAGCCTGCAGTAACTTGTTTTGGGGCCAACAACATTCATTTTAGTATTTCTCTAAATTGGCTCATGTAGTCACCAAACAGTCCAGGTATTGTGCAATAGGGATATAGGTCAGGCGACTTCCAAAAGAAAGAGCACTATATCAAGTACATTATATCATAATGTAATATCCTAAAACTCTTTGTCAATATTGGTAAATTTGTCCATTCACAAAACATTCTTCATTTCTGAAGGGTTAATACCACTGTTTGGTTCTAGAGATAGTATAATTTAATTTTAAAAAGTTTATAAAATTTTGAATGTTGACGTTGCTTTATTTTGAAAAACTATAATTAATTTGGACAACTGGAATTATGAAAATTGTTTTACTCGCACAAACAGGAACCAATGAGGGCAATTTGTGTTGTTCTGTAACTATCTGCGAGGTTCGGATTCAGCTTTTCAAATATCATCTTTCACAAATACCCTTTGTGCCTCTTTCAGTAAATGTTAATCTGTTAGTACTGCTCAGGATTGAACTGTATCTCCTATCACTACTGTAGGTTAAGCTGGACCCGAGCGGCTGAAGTAGAAATGAAAGTTGGACACAATGAGGTGAACTCTTCTCATTGTCAGACTTTCAGGAAACTAGTGCACTAGGCTTATTATGACGGGTCAGTAGTTGTAACTATTGTCTATGCTGGGTAGGTTGATAAATAAAAGTGTATGGATATGGTTAAGTGTAGAATTTCAAGAGAAAATCCATTCTTGTATATTTATGGTGTCCACATTTGGGTCTTTATTTTAACAGGTTAATGCAGCTGAATCAAAGATAACAAATTTAATATACCTAAAGCATACCTTGGAACTTGTGGATCCTTTAAAGGTAATTTATATGGGTGTATATTGTACAAAACATGTCTAGCATCAATTTTTTAAAAACTTTTTGTTCCAAAAAATATCAAATTTAGATAAAGTTACAGGAATAGTATAATGAATTCCCAAATTCTCTGGATACACACAGCACACACTACGTGTTATATCCTTATTATTACTCTTACTAAACTATTTGAAAATTGCAATACCTAAATACTAATGTGTGTATAGCCTAAGAACAAAGCTGTTCTCTTATATAACCACAATATAATTTAAAAATTGAGGATATTTAACATTGATCCAATACTATTATGTGTAGTCCATACTCAAAATTTTCTGATTGTTTTACTAATATCTTTTATGGACTTTTTTTTTTCTTGATACAGGGTCCAGTCCAGGATTATGCATTGTATTTAATGTCATTTTTTTTTAAAGATTTTATTTATTTGAGAGAGAGAGTGAGCTAGAGAGAGCATGAGCAGAGGGAGGGGCAGAGGAAGAGGGAGAAGCAGACTCCCTGCTGAGCCAGAAACCCAATCCCAGGACTCTGGGATCATGATCTGAGCAGAAGGCAGATGCTTAACTGAGCCACCCTAGTGTCCCTAATGTCATGTTTCTTTATACCACTTTTCAACTTAAGGTTTCTCATCCTTTCTTTGTCTTTCATGATATTAACATTGTGAAGAGGGTCTGTTGTTTTATAGAATATTCCTCAGCTTGTGTGGTTATTTTCTCATGATTAAATTCCGCTTATTTAGCAGTAATACTCTATGAGCAATGTTGTATCTTTTTCAGTACATCACATCAGGAGGCACATTATGTCATTCCCCATTCTGGTGGTATTAACTTTGATCAATTTCTTCACTGTAAAGTTATTAAGTAATCTGTGGAGAGATACTTTGAGACTATGTAAATATTCTGTTCCTCATTAAACTTTCACTCAATGATTTAAATACTCATTGATGACTCTTACCTGAAATATCTCTGATGTGATTTTCTAATATATTTTTAAATACTTTACTGTGCAAAACTTTTTAAAAAACATTTATTTATTTAAGTAATCTCTACTCCCAACATGGGGCTCCAGCTCACAACCCTGAGATCAAGAGTCCCATGCTCTGCTGACTGAGCCAGCCAGGAACCCCTGTGCAAAACATTTTTTAAAACTTAGGTGACAGCTTTTTCCATGCTGATAGTGCTCTCACAAACAGGGTGAACATTCCTAAAACCCTCGTTTTTCATTACTTTTTTTTTAAAGATTTTTATTTATTTATTTGACAGGGCAGGCGCCCCTACTTTTTCTTTTAAAAAAGGAGTTCCTTGTCACCTTAAGTTTGAAAGAGGTAAAGGATCTGTACTCTAAAAACTACAGAATACCTATGAAGGAAATTGAGGAAGACACAAAGAAATGGAAGAACATTCCATGCTCATGGATTGGAAGAATAAATATTTTATAATGACTATACTACCCAGAGCAATCTACACATTTAATGCCATCCCTATCAAAATACTATCAACATTTTTCACAGAGCTAGAATAAACAATCCTAAAATTTGTATGGAAACACAAAGACCCCAAATAGCCAAGGGAATGTTGAAAAAGAAAACCAAAGCTGGTAGCACTACATTTCTAGACTTCAAGCTGTATTCTCTTAGATCTAAGAGAATTCTGGCTATTAAGAGATGCAAGCATTTTGAACTGGGAGGAGATAAGAAGAGAAAGGTCAAGTGATCCAGTTCTAAGCTTCATATTTTGTTAATATTATGAAGACAATAAAATCTTGAGGTTATGTTCACTTCAAAAAAAAAAAAAAAACTTAAGGTGACAAGGAAGAACTCCTTTTTTAAAAGAAAAAGTAGGGGCACTTGGGTGGCTCAGATGGTTAAGCATCTACCTTCGGCTCAGGTCATGACCTCAGGGTCCTGGGATCAAGTCCCACATTGGGCTCCCTGATTGGCCGGGAACCTATTTCTCCCTCTCCCTCTACTGTTCCCCCTGCTTGTGCTCTCTTGCCTTCTCTGTCAAATAAATAAATAAAAAACCTTAAAAAAAAGGTTAATGAAAAATCTAGAAGAATTTTGTTATAGAGTTCATTCTAATAAATATATATAATGAAAGCAATTTGGCAAAAGATGTAAAAAATGTCATCTTCTTAGAATGAAAAAGGTATAATAAATCATCCCCCAAAATCGATAGATTTGATAAGACACAAATTTCAAACTTTGATATGTCAGAGGCAAAGTAAAGGCCAAAGAAAATTGGGAAAATTTATAGCATTTGACAGATTAAATATTAATTTCTGTCATAAAACTCATGTAATTTCATAAGACACTATTGGAATACCAGTAGAAATATGGAAAATGCCCCCAAAATGGAAATCAAAGAAGTTAATAAATAATACCAAAAATATTCAGCCTTACTACTAGTCAAAGAAATACAAATTAAAGTCATTTTTTTATATATAAAAGAAGCAAAGTTTTTTTGTTTTTATTTTTTTCCCCTTAACGGACACAACTTACTGCTAATGAGAGAACAGTGAGACAGACCTCAGAGGCCGCTGGTAGGAGTACAAATTGCACATACTTCACAGGGAAGTTTTACAACATCTATCTTTTGATGGTGTTATGTTACTAGAAATCTGTCCAAAAGAAGTCTTAAGAAATACTACCAAGATTTATGCCCAGTTATGTCATTGCAGCGTTATTTATATTAGTGAGAAATTCTAAGTAGTATAGACCTATAATAAGGGGAAGGACTATTTGTTTTGTAGAGGGTAAAATATTATGACGATTTAAAAATTTATACTATTGAAAGTTTCTAATGCTTGTGATGTAGTATTAAGTAGGGGAGAAAAGGAATATGCGATGATAAAAAAATTTTTTTGATTTGAGGAAGTGACAGGAAATATACCGTAATATTTAGATAATTTATTTGGAAGGGTGGTAGAATTATAAGCAATTTAATTGTTTTTCTTTATGCTTTTATGAATTTATAGTTTTATTAGTATTTAAGTATTTTCTATTCATAAGAAAAAAATATTATTGCCATTGCCTCATAGCAAACTAAAATAGCACGTAAAAGTCAGGTTAACCGTATATATGAAAACCCACAGTGAATGAATATCATTCTCAACGGGGAAAAACTGAAAGCTTTTCCCCTAAGGTCAGCAACATGACAGGGATGTCCACTCTCATTACTGTTGTTCAACATGGTACTGGAAGTCCTAGCCTCAGCTAAGACAACAAAAAGAAGTAAAAGGCATCCAAATTGTCAAAGAAGAAGTCAAACTTTTACTCTTTGCAGATGACATGATACTCTATGTTGAAAACCCAGAAGACTCCACCCAAAAATTACTAGGACTCATATAGGAATTCAGCAAAGTCACAGGATATAAAATCAATGCACAAAAGTTAGTTGCATTTCTATACACTAACAATGAAGCAGAAGAAAGAGAAATCAAGGAACTGACCCCATTTACAACTGCACCAAAAACCGTAAGATACCTAGGAATAAACCTAACCAAAGATCTGTACTCTGAAAACTATAGAACATTTATGGAAGAAACTGAAGAAGACACAAAGAAATGGAAAAACATTCCCTGGCTCATGGATTGGAGAACAAATATTGTTAAAACATCTGTGCTACCCAAAGTAAACTACACATTCAGTACAATCCCTATCAAAATACTATCAAACATTTTTCACAGAGCTGGAACAAATAATCCTAAAATTTGTATGGAACCAAAAAGGCCCCAAATAGCCAAAGGAATGTTGAAAAAGAAAACCAAAGCTGGTAGCACTACATTTCTAGACTTCAAGCTGTATTACAAAGCTTGATCACATAGTGATCAAGACAGTATGGAACTGGCACAAAAACAGACACATAGATCAATGGAACAGAATGGAAAACCTAGAAATGGGCCCCTCTACTCTATGGTCAACTAATCTTCGACAAAGCAGGAAAGAATGTCCAATGGAAAAAAGACAGTCTCTTCAACAAATGGTGCTGGGAAAATTAGACAGCCACATGCAAAAGAATGAAACCGGGCCATTTTCATACACCATACACAAAAATAAACTCAAAATGGATGAAACACCTACGTGTGAGACAGGAATCCATCAGAATCCTAGAGGAGAACACAGGCAGCAGTCTCTTTGACCTCGGCTGCAGCAACTTCTTGCTAGACACGTCTCCAAAGGCAAGGAAAACAAAGGCAAAAATGAACTATTAGGACTTCATCAAGGTAAAAAGCTTTTGCACAGCAAAGGAAACAGTCAACAGAACCAAAAGACAGCCTTCAAAATGGGAGAAGATATTTGCAAATGACATATCAGATAAAGGGCTTGTATCCAAGATCTATAAAGAACTTGTCAAATTCAACACCCAAAACCCAAATAATCCAGTCAAGAAATAGGCAGAAGACATGAACAGACATCTCCAAAGAAGACATACAAATGGTCAATAGACACATGAAAAAATGTTCCACATCACTTGGCATCAGGGAAATACAAATCAAAACCTCAATAAGATACCACCTCACACCAGTCAGAATGGCTAAAATTAACAAGCCAAGAGACGACAGATGTTGGCGAGAATGCAGAGAAAGGGGAATTCTCTTACACTGTTGGTGGGAATGCAAGCTGGTACAGCCACTCTGGAAAACAATATGGAGGTTCCTCAAGATGTTAAAAATAGAGCTACCCTATGACCCAGCAATTGTATCACTAGGTATTTTTCCAAAGAATACAAACTTAGTGATTCAAAGGGACCCATGCACCTGATGTTTATAGCAGCAATGTCCACAATAGCCAAACTATGGAAAGAGCTCAGATGTCCATTGACAGATAAATGGATAAAGAAGAGGTGGTGTGTACACACACACACACACACACAAATACACTCGCACACGCACACACACACACACAGGAATATTACTCAGCCATCAAAAAGAATGAAATCTTGCCATTTGCAACCATGTGGATGGAATTAGAGGGTATTACACTAAGTGAAATAAGTCAGAGAAGGACAAATATATAATTTCACTCATATGTGGAATTTAAGAAACAAAACAGATGAACATAGAGGAAGGGAAGGAAAAATAGAATAAGATGAAAAAGGAGAGTGAAGCAAACCATAAGAGACTCTTAACTATAGGAAACAAACCAAGGGTTACTGGAGGGGAGGTGTGTTGGGGGGAAGGAATAATTGGGTGATAGGCATTAAGGAGGGCACTTGATGTAATGAGCACTGGGTGTTATATGCTACTGATGAATCACTAAACTCTGCCTCTGAAACTAATAATACACTGTATATTAATTAATTGATTTTAAATAAATGAAAAAAGTTTAAGTTAAAAAAAGTTAGGTAAACTGTGTTTTCCTCTTGTTTCTATTTATTGAAATAGTGACCACTCATAGTTTCCATTAAGCAAAATTAAACCTCTATTTTTGCATATAAGAATGGAGAAATTGCTCTATTTATAAATATGCAAAGCACTTTCTTAGTTTAATGCATATTTAAAACCCAAATTTTGGAATTATATGTAGAGTACTCTAAATGTACAATGATAGCTATTTAAGTACCTACCTCTAATAAGTAGTTGAATGCTAACAATTATTTGAGAGACAAGAAAAATTAAAGTCATAATAGTAAAGCAGTGGATGTCCTTTATTAGCCAGGTGCTCTTTATCTGGAAAATGGGAAAGGTACCATCTGTCCTCACCTATATACCTAAAATATCTTTTATGAGTATACAAATGAGAAGATGAAGCAAGAAAACCCTTGGTAAACTGTAAAGTATTAAACAAATGTAAAATGCTATATTTGAATAGTGTTATAATTTATTATTTTTAACTAACTTTATTTTATTTTTTAACAGATTGCTTTGAGGAACTGTAGCACACCTTTATTAAGAGCTTACTGTGGTTCATTGGAAGATAAGAGGTCTTTGTCACTCAACTGTGAATAAAATAACCCTGCTAATTATTCCTTTCTTCCTGATCATAAATGATTTTAAGTACTCTTAACAGTAATCAATAGAACAATTACTTGAACTCTGGTTAACAACGTTTAAACTATTCATCAAAGTCCTAATTATACATCTTACAAATACCCATAAATAGGGTAACAGCACATTGAGTTTTTGTGTTAATAGGCAATTAGAATAGTATTAAAAATTGAAATCATACACAATTTTAATATTTCTTTTTTTAGCCATTCCCTATGGAAAGACTTGCAAATATAAAAGTACATATTTCTCTTTTGTGAATCATAAAGGGCCTAAAGTAACCAAAAAATAGTAGGTATAAATATTGAATAAGAGATCTAAATACAGTTTAATTTTAATATTGTTTTTAGCAATGGCACCTTGATTTTTAACCAAGAAGACTTGTGATGCTTAAGAACTGTTAGTTTATTGATTCAGGATTCACATCTTTTGTGAGCCACAAATTGAGGTTAATAATAAAACAGAATTACAAATAAAATACAGAACAGAATAAAACAGAAGGTTATGAAAATAGGTGTTACCAGACTGTGACTCAGATTACAAATTAAAATAATTGTTGACTTATTGCCTATAATGTTCTTTTTTAGGTTTGGAATCATACTTGAAAAGATTAAAACCATAATTAATGATGATGCAAGATACATGAAAGGATGCCTGAACATGAGGACTCAGAAGTGCTATGCAGTGAGATCCAACATAAATGAATTTCTTGACATAGCTAGAAGAACATATACAGAGATTGTAGATGACATAGCGGGTAATTTAATTACTTCAGTGTATTTTTCTATTTTTTGTTTTAAATTAAAACTTTTTATTTATTTATTAAAAGATTTTATTTATTTATTTGACAGAGAGAGACACAGTGAGAGAGGGAACACAAACAGGGGGAGAGGGAGAGGAGAAGCAGGCTTCCCACTGAGCAGGGAGCCCGATGTGGGGCTCGATCCTAGGACCCTGGGATCAAGGCCTGAGCCGAAGGCAGACGCTTAATGACTGAGCCACCCAGGTGCCCCCAAATTAAACCTTTTTAGAACATGTGCTTTTCTGCTGGTGATAACTAGCCATACATATTTTTAATTAAATTTTTGTTACCAAAAGAGATAAGGTTAACACATACTGTCATTTAAAATAGATTAAATATCAAAAACTAATGATGTAATAATGTATGGTAATTAACATAATAAAAATATATTAAAATATGATTTTAAAAATAAGTATCTCTAAATGTTATAATGTGTCTATTTTTTTCTCCCAACTTAAATATAGAGTTTCTTCAAACTTAGAGTTACCTGAAGATTCGGAGATGTTTGTTTACCTTTATATAATATTGTATATAAATTAGATGAAAAATGCAGGTATCAGTACTAAGTGATTTCAGAGGAAGAAATATGTTTGTCTAGAGGAGGTAGCATTTGAGCAAGTACAGTAATTGATTTAACAAATTTATGGAGTTTCTTGTAAATATAGACACTGTTTTGGGTAATATATATATGTGAACAAGACAAAGTCCCTGTCCTCATGGAGCTTATGTTATAGTAGGGAAGACAGACAAAAAAGAAATGCGTGTGTGTGTGTTTATAGGTATAGAGAGGTAGATAGATGTATATATCGATCACATAGATCATATAATATCACATGGGTATAAGATATATGATGAAAAATATAGCAGGTTATAGGGGTCAGAGAGTGACTGGGTGTGGAAGCATAGAGGATGGGGATGTTTTTAGTAGATAGAATAGCCTAGAAAGGAATTCCACATACTGGCAGTGGTACAAACTGAAGCACAAAGGCTAAGGAAACCTCAGTGGGTGAGGAAGGAAATTGGTTAGGGTAGAATAGGGCATTCCCTGACAGAACTTGTAAGAGGTAAGATTGGAAATGTAGACTAGGGACCAGAATTTAGTCTTTGAAGGCTGGGAGTTTGGATTTTTTTTCCCTAAGAGAATGCAGAGGCACTGAGATATTTTTCTGTGTGGAGTGAAATTGATCAAGAACATTGGTTGAATGAATTTGAGTAGAGCAATGGAGACAAGGAAACCATTTTAAACTATTAAAAGTTAAAGCATTTGAGTGATAGCAATGTATATGAGAAGAGAGAAAGCAAAGGTTGAAGGAAGAAATGATGAGTTAATAATAGAGTAGTTATGGCCATGGTAAAGGGAAACGTAGCTATTGGTGCTAATTGAAATTTCTAGTCTGAGAGTGGTGGTATCACTGAGAAGCAGGAAAATTGTTGGGAGGAACTATTTTGAGGAATAAAGATGTTAATTTTCACAAGTAATGTTCAAAGCATTAATGATCATCAGGTTAAAAATAAAAATTTAGAACTCTGTGGTAAGTTTGAAGTTGATAGGAAAATTTGAATTTTTTAGGTATTTGTTGTATGCCCATTTTCTTTTTGGAATATTTTGTTTTGCAAAATATATGTCTTGTAGAGAGAATTTCTTATTCTGAACTAATGATTATAATAATTTTTATGATTTCAAAAAAGTTGAATGAATAACAAAGGAAAACTAATATTCTAATAGAGCATAAAATAGTCTTAATTTAGTTTAATTTTTACAGTTTTTTTAACTTTCAAACTACCTATCAAAGTGACTATCCTTGTACTACCAATTTTTTTTTTTTAAAGATTTTATTTATCTATTTGACAGAGATAGACACAGCAAGAGAGGGAACACAAGCAGGGGGAGTGGGAGAAGGAGAAGCAGGCTTCCTGCGGAGCAGGGAACCTAATCTGATGCAGGGCTTGATTCCAGCGGGGATTGATTCCAGCAGGGCTTGATCCCAGGACCCTGGGATCATGACCTGAGCCCAAGGCAGAAGCTTAAAGACTGAGCCACCCAGATGCCCCTACCAGTTCTTTTCTTAAAAGGATACTTGACCATCATATGTGTTAGACATTAAAAATCTTTACAGTTTAAAAGAGTAGAAAGACCTTCCTATTTATATATAAAATAACAACAACAAAACTGTGATTTTTTTTTTTAAACAGAAAGAGTAATTTTCTCATTAAAATTATTTTTGTTTTTCTTATTTCTGGTCGCTAGGAATGATATCGCAGCTCGCAGAAAAATACAGTCTTCCTTTAAGGACAAGTTTTAGCTCTGCTCGAGGATTTTTCATCCAGATGACTACTGATTGTACAGCCTTACCCAATAATCAACTTCCTTCAGAATTTATTAAGGTTCATTTTAGAGTTCTGGTTCAGAAATTATTATTTCTGAATTACATTTTACATTTTTTCAGACATTCCTTGAATTTTACATGCCAAATTTCTGAATGTTCTGTATATTGCTTTCCTACTCCTGTCAACCTACCTAACAGTTATAATAATCTAAGAGTGAGGTAGAATTTTGGAGAAACGCCAAACAGTGCATCCCATTGTTCTGGAAGCTTGGTATGTGTAAAAAAAAAAAAAAAGGAAATGAAAAAAAAAAGTCCAAAAGGTATTTTTGATCCAAGGAATTTGGAAAATACTGTACCATCTCCTGTTTTAGGTAGTTCTCTATGTACATTTGCCTATTAAAGGTTTAAAAATCCTGAAATAAAGAAATCTGTTAACTTTTTAAAATCCAATGTTGCCAAACCTTGGACCAGGGAAATGTTTTTTCCTAAATACATATTAACATCTCCATGATATACCAGTTTGGGAAAGTCTAACCCAATCTAATTTTGCTTTCTCTGCTTTCAGTGGGTAGCTTTCAACAACAACAAAAAAACACATTTAACTTTTAGGGTTTTTAAATACACACTGTAATCCGAGGTGATGGGGGATGGAAAAAGAAAAGAATCGGTTGAGACACAGTAATGGGATTAGAAATTGAGTGAGGTTCAGATATGGGACAAGGGCTAAGATGGGTCAGAAATTACTGATATCTGTCATGCATATTACTGGGTAATAAGATGTACTGTCTGACATTTCTACAGAGCTATTTTAAGACCTGTTCAAAATAGTTGTGCCAGAATACTGTAGGTTAACTTTAAGTGCTTTAATTTTAGAAGTGATCTTTTCTTTTTTGCAGACATTATTTGAGACTTTATTTGTGATGCTTTATCTCCAAAATTAATTAACCTAAATATCTATGCTGTTTAAAATCTTTATGTTTGATTTTATAGGAGTATACACCCATCTTGACATTTTGTTAATTTTGTTTAATTTCCTAACAGATATCTAAAGTGAAAAGTTCGTACACCTTTACATCAGCAGACTTAATTAAAATGAATGAAAGATGTCAAGAATCTTTGAGAGAAATCTATCACATGACTTATATGTAAGCACGTTTGAAATTTTGAATATTAAATTGGTTCAATTTGAAGCATTATAATAAATTTCATTAACTGGCTTTTTGTCTGATTGCAGAAAATTATAAAATTATGAATGTTAGCAAAGAAAGAACATTTCATGGAAGAACAATGAAAACTTTTAAAGTCTGTCATTGTGATTGGAATTGCTCAGCCTCACAGAAGATTCAGGGCAAATCTAATTACAAAAACAAAAACAGAAACAAAAACAAAAAAACATCATTATACCTGATACTTCTGTAGTATGCATTCCACCATGATGTAGAATTTGGCACATCTTGGGCTTCATTCAGTTTATTCTTTTCTTATGGTATGTAAGCCCTCAACTTCTCATGGCATATATTTATTGTAATGATATGCTCATATATCATTATGTGTGTATGTGATATGTGTATGTCATATCACATATATATATATATGAGCATATCATTACAATAATGCAAGTCTTTTGCTGGTCATGAAACAGTAGTAGTACAGCTGGAAATAAGAAATAGATCATTCACGGGCGGGGTGAGGGGGGCCCGGCAAAAAAAAAAAAAATCATTCATAATCGATGAGCTAAGATGATAAAGACAAATGTTGGACTTTCAAAACAATTTCAGGGCATAGACCACAGAGATTATGAGATATAATAGGTTTGGGGAACATATTTCTCCTCATAAGGGAAAAAACCAAGACCTTGAGCTAGGATCAAGAGTCAGGTGCTTAACCAGCTGAGCCACCCAGGCACCCCTTAAGATTTTATTTTTAAGTAATCTCTATACCCAATGTGGGGCATGAACTCACAACCCAGAGACCAAGAGTCACATGTTCTACCAACTGAGCCAGCCAGGTGCTCCAAGGAAAACCTTTTTTATTATGTCACAGTGTAATACCTCTGCTATGTAAAAAGCTTCAATAATTATGTTGTTAAGGTGTGTGTGTGAAAGAAAGAACATACTAACTTTTGTGTTGAATTTAACATTTGCAAAAAACACAAAATTATTAGCAGATGGGATCTATTGAAGCATAGTGAGGTCTTGTTTGACCTATAAAAATAATTTTATTAATGAAAATTAATTTTATTAGTATTTAATAACAACAATCATTTCAAAAACATGGTGTTAACATACCAGAAGATGCGTTCTTGCTACAAGTTCCTTGAACTCAAAGAACTTCAATTTCCTAATCTTTAAAATGAGGCAAAAGAACAATAGACTTTACCTGTAGAATACAACTGAACTGTGAATGTTATTTTACCTTAGGCAATGAATTTGATATTATTTTACAATTATATTGTATGTCCCTCTTTAAAAGCATTACCTGACTTCCAAACATGTGCTTTCAGGATAGTGTGCAAACTGCTTAGTGAGATTTATGAACATATTCATTGCTTATATAAACTATCTGACACTGTCTCAATGCTGGATATGCTCCTGTCATTTGCTCATGCCTGCACTCTTTCTGACTATGGTAAGTTACTTTCTTTGGAATAAATATGTTGCATACTGAAATTTGTCTTCCATCCAAGCAATTTTATATAACAATTATGAATGTTTTATATTTTTTTACCTGAAATATGGTCTCTTGCCTATGGTCTTAGACTAAGACTTAAAATAGAAAAAGTAAAATTACTCTTAAAATTTGTTTTAAAAGTCAGAAAATTGTTTACTGAGAAATTGACAAATGAGAAAGAAAATACTGCAAGAAACTTTAAAGATTCCCCAAATAGGAAAGACTGAAAAGCTTCCTCCTTGGTGGAAAAGACAATGATCCAAATTGATAGAGTTCAAATCTGAAGACTCATTCGAAACAGTGTGACAGAAGCAGATGAGAGAAATGAAATCTCCAAAGTGAACATTTTCTAAACTAGCTCCTTAGGTATAAACACTTCAAAATCAGGGATTATATCATATATTTTTGTATCACAAGTCTTTTGTAACCCAAGGTCTTGAATATAAATATTAAGTAATTTTCTAATATTAAGTGAAGTGAATACTTCAGATTAATCCCTTGAAATTTCTTATCTAACTTATCAGTAATAACCACACTCTCATACACAAATTTATGGAACTAGTATGTGATAATTAAGTTTGAATAATTGTGGACTTAATATCATTAATAACATTGAAATTTCTAGTTAAAATCACTAGAATTTCCCAAATACTATGTAAATTTATTTTTTTGATGCGAAATAAGTATTTTACGAAGATTTTTTTTCTTATTTTTATATTTCTTATGGAAACGTTAACTCTTTCAATTGGTATTTTATAAGCCAAAAGTTTTCAATCTTTTAGATCTCCTCTGGGGTCAAAACCATACCTTAGGGATCAACTATTTTAATAGTTTTCTTAGCTATTAAGATATTTGATGTTGCTCCATTTTAATTTGAGAGAGATCATCCTGAAACTCCAAACCTATAAATAATGACTTTTGGTGTTAAAAATACTTTGAAAGTAGTTTAAAAATTATTTTCTAACCAACCTCTCTTTTATAATGAATGCTTTTGAATGCGTTTACTCTGGAGGCATGTAGGAGTTTAGTGTTTACTTGTCCCATGCCCTGTCTTCCTCCCTTTACCTTGGAAGGTATTCATAGAGACCTGATCATTATTTGTTTCTATAAATTAACAATATATTTTGTGTCTGTTTTGTCTATCATCTGGGTATTCTTTTTAGACAAAATTTCTGTAAGTTCCTGGACATAAAATTGTATTTGGTTCTACTTTATATACATATGTCACTTGAAAAGCTAAGTATGCCAAATTTAAAATAAAGCTTAAGGTGGGAATTAAGTAGATGTACAATTTGTAGTACTGGTAATTAATTGTTATTTTAAAAGTATTATCGGGGTGCCTGGGTGGCTCAGTTGTTAAGCGTCCAACTCTTGATTTTGGCTCAGACCATAATCTTAGGGTCATGAGATTGAGCCCCATGTTGGGCTCCACAGTCAGTGGGGAGTCTGCTTGAGATTCTCTCTCTCTCCCTCTCCCCCTCCCCCCACCTCACACTCTTTTTCTTTATCTCAAAAAAAAAAAGTATTCAATGGCTAGTTGACTCTTTTTAATCTGTATAAATCTGAAAATGTTACAAACTGTTTTGGAGCTCAGGACAATGACAAAGAATTAAATCCTAGGGTTCCCTGGAAGTGAATAAAAGTTGTGATGGTGATTAGAATGCATCAGTTACAATCTAGAGGGATTTTGGTAGGGATTTAAGATAAAATAATACCTTAATACTTTGTCCCAAATTGACCCTAGTAAAATCACACATACATACCACACAGACCATTAAACATAAATATATTAATCTTACAAAACCTTTCTTTCTTTCTTTTTTTTAGTTCGGCCAGAATTTACTGATACTTTAGCAATCAAACAGGGATGGCATCCCATTCTTGAAAAAATATCTGTGGAAAAACCTATTGCCAACAATACCTATATTACAGAAGGAAGTAATTTTTTGATCATAACTGGACCTAATATGAGTGGGAAATCCACGTATTTAAAACAGATTGCTCTTTGTCAGATTATGGCCCAGATTGGTAAGTTATGGCTTTATTTCATACATAATGATTCTTCTGCCCCCATTTAAAATGTTTTGTGCCTAATATTTTAGATCCAGGTGCCTAATTAACCCCAAAAGAATTTGGAGTATGTTTTCTTACCTAAAAATATAATAGTGTCTATTATGTAGACCATAACTTTTACTATTTGGTATTGATTAAGCTCCATCCAATTTGGATTGCATTGTACTAAAAATTTTGTACGATGTAACAGAAAACTACCTTACTATAACTATTAATGTTGTATCAATTATTACTAAACTGAATCATATTATTTCTGATTCAAAAACAAACTTTGTTGTGAGAAAAAGTAAAGTAAGTAGGATAAGCTGCTGCCTTTAGTAACTCATGTAAGATTTTTCCCAAATTATAACATTGGGGAAAGAAACATCTTTTACTTAATTTAAGAGTTACCAGTAACTCGGACACAGCACTTGATACAGTAACACATTATGTGTGCATACATACACATATAAATGGCCGTCATTGGCTCAACAATGTCATGTATTTCTCGGTGTAGAGGCACAACTTAGCTCTGAAAACTAGGTTTCCTTGAGGACTCTATGAATCAGAAATGAGATGATTTGTCCTAATACAGTGGTTCTCAACCAGGGATGATTTTGGTCCCTCCGCCAATGCACTCCTGGCCCCCAAATTTGACAATATCTGGAGACATTTTTGGTTGTCACAACTGAAGGGAGTGTAGAGTCCAGAGATGTTGCTGAACATCCTACAATGCACAAGACATTCTTCCCTCCCCCTGACACATGTAAGAAAGATTATCCAGCCCAAGACGTTAGTGTGGTGGTTGAGAAACCCTGGCCTAATGTAATAAATTGTAAGGGGAATACAGCAATAATAATATTGATGATACAATACAGATTTATCCTTACTACTGGGAAAGAAAATCAGAGGTGAATAGTGAAGAGTAAATATTTTATTGGGTTTATAGTTGTATTGGAATGAAAAGGACTATCTTAGCTAATTTCCCTCCTTTTATAAAGTGATTCATATGTGATAATAATCTTATTTCTATTTGAATAGCTATGAGGAGCTCTGTCCTTTAAAAAAAACAGGCTATGCAATTGGACATCTGTAATTGTTAGAGCATTCATTATACTGACTTGAAATCTGATTTTCTATAACTTCTACTCATTAGTCCTAATTTTTATCTTATATTAATCTCTTTTGATGATAGCCCCTCAAATATTAGAAGAAAATTATTCTACTTTTTATCACTTACTTTAAACCTCTAAAATACCTAAAAGTATATACAGTATCTCATATAATTTGATCATAAAGGAAACAGTCAAATTTGAAAGGCATGGAAATTAAGAACATAGGCTAGACCTAGCTTGTCTAGTTACTAGCTCTGTGATCTAAGGCAAATCACTTAACTTCCTTGGTTTTCTTATCTGTAAATGAAAATTCTAATAGTACCTAATTCTAAGAATTGTTGTAAAGATTAAGTGAGAATAATGTATGTAAAATACTATGGATGTAGGGAAAGGTATGAGAAAGAAAGAGACTTTCCAGGCAGAGGTAAGAACATATTCTAAAGCAAAAAAAACAAAAAAACAAAAACCAGTATGATGTGCCCAAGGAAGGACAAGAAGTCCAGATTCCTTTGTAGAGCAAACAGTAGCTGTGAGGAGTGTAGGATATAAAGCCAGAGACTGGGCAAGAGCCAGATCATGAACGGTCTTATGTACTTCACTGAAGAGATTAAACTTCATCCAGAAATCTGTAGGGAGCTATTGAAATTTAAGTAAGAGAATCTCATGATGTGTGATGTGAAAGGATTTGCTTTTCACATAGATCATTCTGGCTGATGTATTGTCAGAGGAGAGCCAGACCAGAAGCAAGTATCAGTGGGGAGCTTCTGTAGTAATTTTTAGACTTAAGGATGTTGGAGAGCCCTTGTGGTGGAGGTAAATACAAATGGGCTAAGGAGAAAGTATGAACATATACCATGTATGCTATATCCTCTCCTTGGTACTTTCACATTTATTTTCCCATTTAATCCTTTCAGAAATCCTGTGAGAAAGTTGTATTTAAGAGATCTGCTTTTGAGGTGCAATCATTATAATTACTATTGTTTTTTTTTTTTTAATTTTATTGTTATGTTAGTCACCATACAATACATCATTAGTTTTTGATGTAGTGTTCCACGATCTATTGTTTTCGTATAACACCCAGTGCTCCATGCAGTATGTGCCCTCCTTAATACCCATCACCGGGCTAACCAGTCCCCCCCACCCTAAAACCCTGTTTGTTTCTCAGGTCCATAGTCTCTCATGGTTCATCTCTCCCTCTAATTCCCCCCGCCCATTTTTCCCTTCCTTCTCTTAATGTCCTCCATGTTATTCCTTATGTTCCACAAATAAGTGAAACCATATGATAATTGACTTTCTCTGCTTGACTTCTTTCACTTAGCATAATCTCCTCCAGTTCAATCCATGTTGATGTGAAAGTTGGGTATTCATCCTTTCTGATGGCTGAGTAATATTCCATTATATATATGGACAACATCTTCTTTATTCATTCATCTGTTGAAGGGCATCTCGGCTCTTTCCACTGTTTGGCTATTGCGGACATTGCTGCTGTGAACATTGGGGTGCATATGGCCCTTCTTTTCACTACATGTGTCTTTGGGGTAAATGCCCAGTAGTGCAATTGCTGGGTCATAGGGTAGCTCTATTTTTAAATTTTTGAGGAACCTCCACACTGTTGTCCAAAGTGGCTGTACCAACTTGCATTCCCACCAACAGTGTAAGAGGGTTCCCCTTTCTCCACAACCTCTCCAACATTTGTTGTTTCTTTCCCTGTCCATTTTTGCCATTCTAACTGGTGTAAGGTGGTATCTCAGTGTGCTTTTGATTTGGATTTCCCTGATGGCTAATGATGATGAACATTTTTTCATGTGTCTGTTAGCCATTTGTATGTCTTCTTCAGAGAAGTGTCTGTTCATCTCTTCTGCCCACTTTTTGACTTGATTATTTGTTTTTTGGGTGTTGAGTTTGAGAAGTTCTTTATAGATTTTGGATACCAGCCCTTTATCTGTAGTGTCATTTGCAAATATCTTCTCCCATTCTGTAGGTTGCCTCTTTGTTTTGTTGACTGTTTCCTTTGCTGTGCAGAAGCTTTTTATCTTGATGAAGTCCCAAAAGTTCATTTTTGCTTTTGTTTCACTAGCTTTTGGAGATGTATCTTGAAAGAAGTAGCTGTGGCCGATGTCAAAGAGGTTACTGCCTATGTTCTCCTCTAGGATTTTGGTGGATTCCTGTCTCACATTGAGGTCTTTCATCCACTTTGAGTTTATCTTTGTGAACGGTGTTAGAGAATGGTCGAGTTTCATTCTTCTGCATGTGGCTGTCCAATTTTCCCAGCACCATTTATTGAAGAGACTGTCTTTTTTCCATTGCATGTTTTTTCCTGCTTTGTCGAAGATTATTTGACCATAGAGTTGAGGGTACATATCTGGGTTCTCTATTCTGTTCCATTGGTCTCTATGTCTGTTTTTGTGCCAGTACTATGCTGTCTTGGTGATCACTGCTTTGTAATATAGCTTGAGATCAGGCAACGTGAGGCCCCCAGCTTTGTTTTTCTTTTTCAACATCTCCTTGGCGATTCAGGGTCTTTTCTGATTCCATACAAATTTTAGGATTGTTTGTTCCAGCACTTTGAAAAATGTCATTGGAATTTTGATCGGGATGGTATTGAAGGTATAGACTGCTCTGGGTAGCATAGACATTTTAACAATGTTTATTCTTCCGATCCATGAGCATGGAATATTTTTCCATCTTTTTGTGTCTTCTTCAATTTCTTTCATGAGTGTTTTGTAGTTCCTAGAGTATAGATCCTTTACCTCTTTGGTTAGGTTTATTCCGAGGTATCTTATGGTTTTCGGTGCTATTGTAAATGCAATCGTTTCTCTAATTTCTCTTTCTACAGTTGCATTGTTAGTGTATAAGAAAGCAATTGATTTCTGTGCATTGATTTTGTATCCTGCCACATTACTGAATTGCTGGATGAGTTCTAGTAACTTGGGGGTGGAGTCTTTTGGGTTTTCCACATAAAGTATCATGTCATCTGCGAAAAGAGAGAGTTTGACTTCTTCTTTGCCAATTTGAATACCTTTTATTTCTTTTTGTTGTCTGATTGCTGTTGTTAGGACTTCTAGTACTATGTTGAACAACAGTGGTGAGAGTGGGCACCCTTGGCGTGTTCCTGATCTTAAGGGAAAGGCTCTGAGCTTTTCCCCATTGAGGATGATATTCGCTGTGGGTTTTTCATAGATGGATTTTATGAACTTGAGGAATGTTCCCTCTATCCCTATACTCTGGAGAGTTTTAATCAGGAAAGGATGTTGTATTTTGTCAAATGCTTTTTCTGCATCAATTGAGAGGACCATATGGTTCTTCTCCCTCCTCTTATTAATGTGTTCTATCACACTGATTGATTTGCAAATGTTGAACCACCCTTGCATCCCAGGGATAAATCCCAATTGGTTGTGGTGGATGATCCTTTTAATGTATTGTTGGGTCCTATTAGCTAGGATTTTGTTGAGGATTTTGGAATCCATATTCATCAGGGATATCGGTCTGAAATTCTCCTTTTTGATGGGGTCTTTGCCTGGTTTGGGGATTAAGGCAAATGCTGGCCTCATAGAATAAGTCTGGAAGCTTTCCTTCTGTTTCTATTTTTTGAAACAGCTTCAGGAGAATAGGTATAATTTCTTCTTTGAATGTTTGGTAGAATTCCCCAGGGAATCCATCAGGCCCTGGACTCTTGTGTTTTGGGAGGTTTTTGATCACTGCTTCAATCTCGTTACTGGTTATTGGCCTATTCAGGTTGTCAATTTCTTCCTGTTTCAGTCTTGGCAGCTTATAGGTTTCCAGGAAGGCCTCCATTTCATCCAGATTGCTCAGTTTATTGGCATATGGTTGTTGATAATAATTTCTAATAATTGTTTCTATTTCCTTGGTGGTAGTCGTGATCTCCAGGTCTTTCATCCACTTTGAGTTTATCTTTGTGAACGGTGTTAGAGAATGGTCGAGTAAGGAATCTCTTCCCCCTAACTGCCCTTAAGATGGTTTCCTTGGTTCTAAGATTTGCAAGTTTTACTATTACATGCCGGGGTGTTGGCCTGTTTTCCTTGATTTCAGGAGGGGTCCTCTCTGCCTCTAGGACTCGAATGTTTGTTTCATTTCCCAGATTAGGGAAGTTCTCAGCTACGATTTGCTCAAATACATCTTCTAGCCCTCTCTCTCTCTCTACTCCCTCCAGGATTCCATTGGAATGCCTCATGGTGTCACTTATTTCCCTGATTCTATTTTCATGGATTGTGAGTTGTTTTTCCCTGGCTTCAATCTCGTTACTGGTTATTGGCCTATTCAGGTTGTCATTGATTTCCCTGGCCTCCTCTTTTCCCTTTTTATCTATTATACTGTCTTCCAGATCGCTTATTCTCTCTTCTGTCTCAGTTACCCTAGCTGTTAGATTATCTAGATTGGATTGGATCTCATTGATAGCATTTTTAAGTTCTGCCAGTTCACCTTTTATTTCTGCCCTTAGAGACTCTATGTTGCCATTAATTGATTTCTCCATTCTAGCCATTGTCTTCACAATTGCTAGCCTGAATTCCATCTCCGACATCTTGGTTATATCTGCATCCATTTGTAAATCTGCAGCATAAGTCATAATCTCTGAGTCTTTTCTGTTTTGGGGGCTCCTCCTCCTAGTCATTCTGTTGATGGGTGTTTGAGGGAATGTATAGAGTCGAAATTATTGACCAGAACCCAAGCAAGATGCAGCTGTTTTCTTGGGACCTTAGGGTTGCTGGCCTCTTGTTTTCCAAGCCTGTCTTCCGGGGCCTGCCGCGCTGTTATTCAGGCAACCCTGTTTGGGCAGAGTTGCCCTGCGCCCCTGTGGCGGGGGATGGGCTCAGTGGGAATCAGTCTTTGGGGCTTTTGTTCTCTGGCACCTTTCCCTGGTGGCTTTCCATGTCTCTTCCGCGGGTCAGAGCAGAAGAGACCGTTTCCAACCCTCTGCCTCAGAGCAGAGAGACCGCAGTCTGTTCTTCAGTGAGCTCTCCAGGCCACACTGTCTCCGTTTCTGTCTGTGCTGCTATAAACTGCAGCGTCCTGGGTTTTGTGCCCCTCCGCAGCGCTCCCAGTCCTGCCTCCAGGTCGGGGTACGTCTCTGCCCTTTGTGCTTCTAAAACCGCTAGCCGCTCCCAATTCGCGACCTGCACGCGACTCCACTGCTTAGGGTCCTGTCCTGGGGACTGCATTTCGCGTGTGCGCGACTCCGCTGCTTGGGGTTTCCACCCCAGAGGTTGCAGTTCACCAGCGGGACCCTGGTGTACCGGGTTTCTGTCTCGGAGGTTGCAGTTCTCGTGCGCGCTACCCTCGCTCTGGGTTTCAGTCTGGGCGACTGCAGTTCGTGTGCGCGCGACCCCGCCGGTCTCCTCCTCCACCCCGGGGGCTGCCCTAAAGTCCTTCCCAACACTACCGGTCTGTCTGTGCCTATCCGCAATGCGCGAGGCTGTCACTCACCGGCGGTGTAGGTTCCCCACGTCCAGGCACCCTCCCGCTGCTGTTTATCCTCCGATATCTGCCCGCAGAATCATGGCTCTCCGCTTTGTACCTCACAACCAACCGCCTGCGATATTCTGTTTGTAGAGATCCAGATCTTCTTACATCTCAGGCTGGTTTCATGGGTGCTCAGCGTGGTCTGGTAGATATCCAGCTCAATTCCGGGAACCAGTTGAAATAGGGTCCCCTACTCCTCCGCCATCTTTCCCCCTCCTCTATAATTACTATTGTTATTTATTTATTTATTTTTGTTTCAGTTTTAATTCCAGTATAGATGACATACAGTGCTCTATAAGTTTCGGGTGTATAGTATAGTTATTCAACAATTCTATACACTGCTCAGAGCTCATCATGATAAGTGTAGTCTTAATCCCCTTAACCGATTTTACCCATCCCTTCACCCACCTCCCCTCTGGCAACCACCAGTTTATTCTCTATAGTTAAAAGTCTGTTTCTTGGTTTGTCTCTCTGTCTCTATTGTTATTATTGTTACTTTTATTTTTATTAGTATTATCCTGACTTTTGCCTTCTTTTCCTGCTAGTCCTTTTTCCTTAGAGATTGATGCTATTCTTCATCCTTATCTTGGTTTTAAATCCTGGAATAATCAGGAGTTTGTTTCTTCACTCCCTTTATTTCACCATTTTGTTCTATATGCTTGATACTTTTCCCATTCAACTATTTGTATATTTTTATCCTCTTATGATTTTAGAATGCCTTTTATGTCCCATTCCGTATAGAGGTAGTTGCATTAATCAGATTGATTTGCTTTCAAAAGGTGAATATTTTAGATTATTTAGCATGATAACTTCTCAGGCAGAAAAAGTCTCAGGTATGAAAACTCACCTTTAAAAAAAATTAAATGTCTTGCTTTCATTCTAATTCTGGGTATTTCTATACATTTCTAATAACAGATATTTCCTAATACATTTTTCTGTAACACCTTTATCAACTTGAGCTTCATAAGCATTTACTCCAAATTTTCCTATTTTGAATTTTTTTATATAACTATATTATTTAACATTTTTGTGAAGTTTATAATAAATCTTTCTAATGTACTTGAATTTATGCTGTCTTCTATTTATATGTGAGAAAGATGAGACTGGGAGAGTCTAATTGCTGCCCAAGGATATATGGTAAGTGACAGAGCTGGGGCCATGTTGTCTAACTGTATATCCAGTGATCTTTCCACTACATAATCCTTAGCTAGGTTAATAAATAATCTGAGTTGGTGAAAAGTGCAAAATATTAGTACTTATATTTTATAAAAGCATTTCAATTTACGTTTACTTTATATTTTACAGGATCATATGTTCCAGCAGAATATTCTTCCTTTAGAATTGCTGAACAGATATTTACAAGAATCAGTACTGACGATGATATTGAAACAAATTCATCAACATTCATGAAGGAAATGAAAGAGGTACCCAAACTAACCTTTCCTTATGTTAAACATATGTTAAATTTTTCCACTAGTGGTCAATTATTATGTACGAAAATATCCTTATTCTAAAACATGTAGATGTGCTTATATTCCTCTACAAGAGCCAGAGGGCAGTCAAAGACAGCTTCTAATTTCTGTCTTATGTGGAAATGGAAGAGAAGGTTTTATTGAAAAATACAGTTTTAAATAAAAAGCTAGTATTATTGAACAAAAAACATGCTTTCATGTTTTTTATGGGATATATAAAAGACTGTCAGAAAACAATGATCTGTTCAGGACCATTTTGTATCTATTGTTCTTATTAGGTTTGATTTTAAAATAATAGATCACTGTGTTAGAATGCTTTTAAAAATCATCCTCTCATGTGCCCCTTTAGAATTTTCACTTTCTCTAACAAAGTACGTGTCATCACCTTTTTCTGATCTGAGCAAATACCAAATAGACTTGAAGGGCTAAAGGTATTCAGTATAGCTCTTGAGGTATCTTCAGTAGGTAGGAATTAATGGATCACTGTAGATTTGGATAACTTTTTATAAATGGGGGAGAATAGTTATTATCTGTGCTACTGTATATGACTTTTACATAATTATTTAGTATGTATTGAGTATCTATGGGAGAATATAGCAATGTACTAGGTGCTCGAGGTGTATTTTTAAATGGTCCCAGCTCTCAAGAAGCTTAGTCCTATAGAAAGGTAAAAGGCCATAAAATTTACTATTGTGTCAGTACATAATGTGGGTGTAATTATAATTTTTGGGAAAGAGGCTAATACTCTTCAGTGGGGAAGGAGAATTTCTGTCAATTAAAGTCTTGGTCTTTGTTGCATGGATTTACATTTATTTGTTTAAATAGGAATCAGTGGACTTGGATACTTTTCCCTCATTTTTTTTCTATCTTTACTGGCTATTGAGATGTTAAAATAAACTTGAGAAATAGTTTTGAGTATTTTATGACAATTAATTAGTCATTTGTGGAGAAGAAAATGACCATCTTTTTGTATTATTTAAACATTTAATTCATTGCTTAGTTTTATTTCACTGTTTCTAAAACATTAATATTTTAGATAATGGTTATTTACTGTTTGTTGTCTCATACACATATGCATGTGTCTGTTTATATACATATCAGCTGTTCTACTGGAATTATTAGTCATGAGAATTTTTAGAAGAAAAGCAGTGTGTTAGTTTCTACTCAGCTGGATAACTTTATAAAAATACATTTCGGATGAACTAATAAAGAGACTGGATTTTTCCTCATTTTTTAAAATGGTAGTGACAGCTGTTTGGTTACAATAAATAATATTAAAATTATATTTTTCAGATAGCTTACATTCTACATAATGCTAATAACAAATCACTCATACTAATTGATGAACTTGGCAGAGGTACTAATACAGAAGAAGGTATTGGCATTTGTTATGCTGTTTGTGAATATCTGCTGAGCTTAAAGGTATTCTCTATTCTTTTAAGTGTATTAATTTTGAGTCCTTTTTTTTCTTAAAGATTTATTTATTTGAGAGAGAGAGGGCAAGAGAGAGCTCACACACTCGTGAGCGGAGGAGGGGCAGAGGGAAAGGGAGGAGGGAGAGAGAAATCTCCTGCAGACTCCCCGCTGAGCACAGAACTGATATATGGGGCTTGATCTCACAGCTGTGAGATCATGACCTTAGTGGAAACCAAAAGTCCAGTGCTCAACTAACTGAGCCACCCAGGTGCCCCTTATGTATCCTTTGTATATTTATCATGATTGGATTTTACAGGCACCTACAAATAGCTCTTTAAACAATTTTAGGTAATAAAAGTGTACCATAGCATTTATATTTTTCTTAGTTCATTTCTGATAGAAACAGGAACAGCTAGTATGATAGTCATGATGTAGACAAGGAAAGAAGGAAATCAAGAAATACAAATATCAAAACTAGTCACTTGGCTTTAATTTAATCAAATTAAAAGGCAAAACATGAAAGCATTTCAATAATTGTCTCCATGGATAATAACATTGACTGTGATGTCACAACATGAAATGAAAAACTAGGCATCTGAGGTCACTTTATGGAAAATTATTTTACTTACCCAACTAAGATTTCATTCCTTTAAAGAAAACAGGTTTTCACAAATCAAGTAAAACAGGCTATGATTTTTGCTCTATTATTAAGCTAATTTGTAAAATATCTCTTTAGATGATCACTCAGAATATATACAGGTATGAAAAAACTTAAAAATATTTTTCCATATTTAAAGTACCTTGAAATATCCCTAAGATGATGTCCTTTACCTTAAATGACAGTCCATAATTTACTATAAAGAAAGAAAAATCTTATTTTTGAGGTAGGTATGTGATATAAGTAATGTTAAGAGATAACATTAGTCTTTGTAATACTGAATCTATGTCAGTTGATCAGAATTTCTCATAAAAATAAGATATATATATATATATATATATATTACTTGTTAGGATTAAAAGCTAATTAGTGTCTGTGATGGTTAATTTTGTATGTCAGCCTGACTGGACTACAGAGTACTGGACATTTGGTCAAGCAGTATTTTGGGTGCATCTATAAGGGTTTCTGAATGAGATTTGTATTTGAACTGGTAGACTAAGTAAAGCAGATTGCCCTCCCTAGTGGGGGTGGGTCCCATCCAATCAGTTTTTTTGTTTGTTTGTTTTCATGGGCTTGGTAAATATCAGTTCTTCTATTTCCTCTGTTCCATTCCAGCTCCAACATAAGAAGGGTTAAGAGTAGTTAATCCTATAAATCATCATATAAATTAGAGTCCAAGGGAGACACTGCAAAATAACATGTCCCAGGAGCAGAAACATGACATGTGAGAATTGGGGCCTACACTTGCACGAGAGAAGGCTACATCACAGGGGCAGAAGCTTGGTGCTCTGTTTTTACCCAAGAGTTTAGTTTAATAGGGGGTGGTGGGTGTTGAGTTGGCAAAGGGATGGATGGAGTGTGCTAGAATGTCTGTCATCCCACAGCACCACACCTTCTCTTTGAGGTCTCCTTGGCACTGTTCTCTGACAGCAGAGAAGCCAGAAACACACATGGTGAATGTCCTTCCTTGGAGGGCTGTGGGCTAGAACCTGCCAGGGAGGTTTGGAAGGTGGAGAAGGGGCCATAATTCACTGTGTGCAGCCTAGCACATACACAGACCTGGGGTCCAGGACAGCCTCAGAGGGATTCCTGAGAGCTGCTGGCTTTGTTGCTGCCACCTGAGACAGATGTCAGGGCCTTCCCAGATGTTCTAGACAATTGCAGTGGCCCAGTGAGCTCTTGAGAATCACACACTTTGGCTCTCCGAGCTGGACTGGGGCAGCTGCACCCCTGACCCTCACTCCTCTAGCTCTCCCTGCTCCTGTACAAAACCCTCCATACCCAGATACGTGCCAGGGCTCCTGCTTTCCTGGCTACACACAGACCAGCAAACCTGCTGCCTGGCACCATGTCTGCCCATACCTTCTAGGAGCTGTTCCTCTTCAACTCTGTCCCATGGGATCTGGATCCTCCAATCTTATTCTCAGTTCCAGGGTTGAGGCCAGACTGATCCAAGCTCTCTCTGTGCCCCAGTGGTGGCTCAGGAGTGTATGCCTACCCAGGCTGGTCAGTGAGTACAGGAGGAGGGTCCTGGCCACAGTGACAGTTTTCAAAAACTTTCTGGGTGTCATCTAGGTGAAAAGTTCTCCTTCCTCTGGACACTATGTCGTGGTGGAGGGACCAAACTGCTGTGGCCACTTGGGGACCCAGCCTGAGGTTCACACAAACTCAGGAACAGCAAATGAGAAGGCTACAGAGAAATGGAACTTGATCCTTGGTCAAACAGACCTTGGAATCCACCCTACCTTTGGATTTTCAATTTCCATGTTGGTAAAGCCTATTCGGGCTAGGTTTTTGGATGTAGCCAAAAGCATCTTGACTTACTGTTTTCATAAGACTCCTTTACTTGTGGACTTCTTGGCTAAATGTATTAACATTTGTTTCTTCTTCCTAAAAGTCAAATTTTCAACATGGCTGTCCATGTAAGATTGATAGTTTTGTTCCATTTGTTCTTCTGTTGGCTGGTGTAAGCCACCAGGTTCTCTGCGTACTGCAAGAACATCTTTAAGAACTTTAGATACTCATAAGATTTTTTCCCATGAACCACATGAATGTTGACCAATTCCAGTACAATCAGTGATAAAATTGGGTAAAGCACAAGAGACAGAAACTTAATACTACTTCCTTTGCCTGGAACACAACATTCTGTCTACCCACTGCTAGCGTCTCAACTCCGTGGAGGCAGCAACCTGGCTGGACATGCGGGTGCAGTGTGTGCTGATGTTTCGAAGCATGATGAGCACTTCCAGAATGGTTCTGGGACAGAACAGAGTTAGGATGGGGGTGCCACAGAGTTCACAGATTACCTGGGGCCACTTCTCAGCAGGAGGGTTTTCCCAAGTCACTAACAACACAGTGATTCTCAGGCAGGTGGTAATGCCGCTCATACATGATTTTTTTTAAAAGATGTTATTTATTTATTTGACAGAGAGGGACAGTGAGAGAGGGAACACAAGCAGGGGGAGTGGGAGAGGGACAAGCAGGCCTCCCGCTGAGCAGGGAGCCCGACACGGGGCTCAATCCCAGGACCGTGGGACCATGACCCAAGCTGAAGGCAGATGCTTAATGACTAAGCCACCCAGGCACCCCATCATACATGATTTTAAAGAGCTGCAAGCATTTGTTCAGAATTACTTCTAATCTGGCTGCTTCCTCAGCTTCTTCAGGCAAAGGCAGGAGGGGCCAAACACTTATGATGCTCTTCTCACAGCTCAGCAAGTTTTTTTTAAGTTGAGAAACTGGATGGAAGGGAACACTGTAGCCTTCTGCAAGACCAACCAATGATTTTATTACTGCTTTTTCCTTAAGCATTGATAACCGATCTTCATCAGTGAATCTGAGTAAAAGTACAATGGAAAATACAAGTTATTGATTTGTTGCTTCTTTTGGAAATTTAGATAAGCTGATTTCCCCATGGCTTAAATGATCTCTTATATGGGGACTCTCCTGATGGTTCAGGAAATCCCAAAGAAATTGTATTGCAGGCTCTCCAAGGAAAAGAGGAATTTGATTGATTTTTACCATCATTCAAGTGTTTTGCCAATATTTCCTCACAGGTGGTATAAAGAGCTGTTGACTCAGCAGTCAAAAGTCTTTGTGGACATTTGTTAATGGCAAAACTCTCCTAAGTCCTGTCTCTAGCTGTGTCAATAACAACATGGCACAGTTGGCAAACCTGTGTGACTTGAACTTGATTAATGCAACTTCTCAGCATAGGAACATGACTTTTAATATAACAGTGTATTTCTTCATTACTTCTAATACTGTAAGTACCTCAGAAGTAACAGCAGGGAAAAGAGCCAAATCCTCAAGGTTTGTAAGAACTCTGAAAGGTCGGCATGCCAATGCAAATTTAGTTTGTTGCAAATAACTCTTCAGCAGCTGACCCAATCCTGCTGTCAACAGTATCATCACTGAACAGTAGTTTGGAGGGATTTCTTGAGGGGACACAAACCCATGCCATAAGATGTTATGTAGACTGAGTCCACATGGAGATCCAGTGAAGACTTCTAGTATGTCTACCATGTACTAGCAAGCTTCTTAGATGCAAGCAGATCTCAAAAGAAAGGGGCTTTCCTGGGGTACCTGGGTCATTGAGCATCTGACTTGATTTTGGCTCAGGTCATGATCTTAAGGTCCTGGGATAGAGCCCCGCATGGGACTCTGAACTCAGGGCAGAGTCTGCTTGGGATTCTTTCCCTCTCCCTCTGCCCCTGCTCCCCTCCCCCACATGCCCTGTTGCAAGCCCTCTCTCTCTTAAAAAAAAAATAAAAGGGGCATTCCTTCCCATTCAGTAAAAATATATTGCCCGAAGCCTGTTCTAGACACGCTGTCAGTTTCATTAAGCTAAAAGAAATAGCAGGAGATTGAAGACTTTCCAAAACATCAGATATTTCAGGAAATAACTCTGCAAAAGCTGTCCACTGCAGCCATGGTGTATATTGAATTTCAAACTGCCCCTTGGTCAGAGATAACAAATGTGAGTGGACAGCCTCACACACAGGGCGCAGCAGCCTCATGCTTCCCCCCGTAATCCAGATTCTGGGCTGATTCTGTATCAGTCACACAGTCTGTGATTGTCTTCCAGCATACTTCACCCCTCTGAGTTATAGTGCCATTGATATCTCAGTTTTCTCTGACTTCAAACCTCAGTTTACAGATCATATTATAGGACTCAGGGAGAAAGACTAGTGGTAATAGGATCCTCTGTTAGTATACTATGTATTTGGGAATTTCAGCCTGGGACCTGGGAGGTAAGGGAACTGGCCCCTGGAACAATCTGGGGGTAAATACAGCCCCAAGGAGAGGGAGGGCAAGGGGTGCGTCTTTGGGGTCAGGGTCAGGTGCCCATCTTCTCTAGTTGCTCACTAGGGTCTGGTAAGGCTGACCTGCTTCTGCAGTCACAGTGGAGGCTCAGGAGTGGTGTCCTAGAGCCCACATCAGGGCATGCCTTCCAGCACACCGCCAGGCTGCCAGAAGGGTGTGGCCAATGCTGCACCTCCTCCAGCTCTTACTGTAGTGGGCCTGAGCACACCAGGAATGTGCTCACTGTGCACAGGCACCCTGGTTCCCATCTGCTCTACCTCCATGACTTCCAGCTCCTCCCATCCAATCAGTTTTGAGTGGGGCCCAGTTGAATACCTGAATAGAACAAAAAGGCTGCCCTCCTGGGAGTGAGAGGGTTACTTCCTGTCTGACTGCTTTCAACCTAGAATCATTTTTCCTGCCTTTGGACTAGAATTGAAACATCAGCTCTTTTTGGATCTTGAGCCTGCCAGCATTTGGACTGGAATGACACCATTTGCTCTCCTGGTTCTCAGGCCTTTAAACTCAGACTGGAACTACAGCATCAGCTCTCCTGGGTCTCCAGTTTGCTGATTGCAGATGTGGGGATTCTTCAATCTCCATAATCATATGAGCCAATTCCTTATAATAAATCAAGCTCTCTCTCTCTCTTTCTCTACACACACATACACACACCCGATTCTATTTCCCTGGAGAAGCCTCACTATTACAGATTTTGGTATTGAGAGTGGCTCTAGAGCAACAGAATTTTAAGGATGAGTTTTCTGAATCGGTTCTGGGGTTTCTGGAATTGACTCTTTAATCTGATTAGATTTATTTTATTTTATTTTTATTATTTAACTCAAAGACTTGTTTTATTATAGTAAATGGGCGGGGACTGATGGGAAGGGTAGATGTAGTGGGCAGCTGTGGCCCTGACTAGTGTTGGATGCCCATCCTCATGGCCACGAATATGTTAAAGATGCCACCACTCTGCATCATGGTTTTCCTGATGCCATCCATCAGCTCCCAACCCCACATTCCAATCCTGAGACAGGAAAAAGTACCCAAGAGCATCCCAGCTGCCATGCCTACTGCATAGCCCATCATGAAGCCCATCTTCACGTGGTTGAAGTAGCTTGGCTGGGACTGTCTGTGTGGCCCCACAGCCACTGGCATCCTCTCAGCATTCAAGTCCCTGCGCCATGGTGCCCCCATCTCACCTCTAATCTGATTAGATTTAAAGATACTAACAATTCTATTTCTAGTAGTAAAGAGTAATAGGTTGGTTTGATACATAAATTTTGAGGACATTAATGTTATTATGAACATGGTCCTCAACTTCTAAATAGTTTACTTGACTTCTAAGTATTTTTCTGTTGCTTTATAAATTTGGTTTTATACCCCTTTTGATTTATTGAGTAAGTAGTGGAGTTTTTTTCATTTTTCTGTCCTATACCTCTTGCCATCCCCCTTACATGGCTGATGCCATTTGCCAGCCCAAATATTTTCTTTTTAATGTCTTAACATTTTATTTTTCCATTAATCACATATTTATAGTTTTTCCTAGTAATATCTTAAGAACATAAACAATTATTCAAATCTCTGTCTAGTTTAGTAACTCACAACTGGAAACCACATGCTGGTCATAAGTCACTTGAACCATCTGCATCAATATCACCTAAAATACTTTTGGAAAATGGAGTTTTCTGGCACTCCACATTACAACTACTGATTTAGAATTTTGGGGGTATAAGTACCAAGAATTTGCATCTTTAACAAACTCCCCAGGGGATTACTAAAGTTTGAGAATCATTGTCCTAAGCATTATTCTCCATCTTTTCTTTCTTCCCTTTAAGTACCTAACCCAAACACAAGGCAAATCTAAAAACTAAACCCTTTGCGATTTTGAATACCTAAGACAAACCATTGATTCCACTTTCCAAAAAATAGTTATATGGAGGGAAGCTACTTTTAAAGTAAAATTTTTTTAAAAGTTGAGGGAAATGTTATGATTTTGTTTGTAGATTACTTTTCTAATAAATGATTACCTCATTTAACAGCTTTATTTCTGATAAACCTCATCTTTTGAATATCTTCAGATTTTTTTAGGATTTTATTTTTAAATTTGTTCTCTTTCCTATAATGTAACGTACATGTGATGTGTAAACATAATAAACATGTTTCTTTTGTTGAATATAAATTTGCAAAACATTTTGAAATGAATTGACCATTATTAGTTTCATTCCTACACCTCTGCCAAGCTACTTGGAAAATCAAACTAAAATTTTTTTCTGGTTCATTTTAAAAATACTGACATTCATTATTATATATTCTAGGCATTTACACTGTTTGCTACACATTTCCTGGAACTATGTCATATAGAGGTCCTGTATCCTAATGTAGAAAATATGCATTTTGAAGTTCAGCATGTAAAGAACACTTCAAGAAATAAAGAAGCAATCTTGTATACCTACAAAATTTGTAAGGGACTCACAGAAGAAAAAAATTATGGTATTGCATATAGAAATTATATCTATATAATATCTATTGAAACACTACATATTCTCATAATTCTTCTCCCTTTACTTGGCTGTCAATCTAAGCAGCTTTTCCTGTCAAAGAATTCTTTTGAGTGCTTATGCTCTAAGACTGTATTTTCTATGTCAAGCTCACATTTTATGTATATTAAGCTTATATTTAAACTTATATCAATCAGTACTTTTGTAGAATTACAACACATGAAAGTGCCAGAAGTATTAGTTTCTATTCTTAGAAAAATGTAATTTAGCTTATATTTGCAAGTTATAAATGAATTGAAAATTGTATATTTCACACTTTTTCAGTAACATCTATTTTCTTCAGATGCAGGGAACTTCATAATCTAAAGTCTTAAAAGGGACTGTATTATCAAACCATATGATACTTGTAAACTTGATTAGATATTTTCTATCTAAATCATTATGTAACATTATAAAATCTCATGAATTCAGAAAATTTTTAATTGATCTATACATATAAGTTTCTAAAATTATTTTAGCTATGAATGTGACCCTTTGAGGAGGGGAAAGCATCTTTGTTTTGCTATTTGAAATGAGAAATCAACTGCATAACTTAATTTGTATCAGATACTTAATTTTTATAAACCTTAATTTCATCTAGTAAATGGGGATAATTTTCCATATATGTAGGGCTTATGAAGATTAAATGAATTATCAAATATGAACTGTTTAATATAGTACCTAGCAATTAGTAACTTCTCAATAAATGTGTTAGTGTTGTTTCTACTGCCTCTAAAATAGTACATACAATAAACTATTAGCACACAGTAGAAAGCCTATGTGGCATTTATACAATAAAATTAGGCTCAGGGGAGAATACTAGAGAGTACTTTGAATTTGCATGAAGAATAGTCATCTATAGTTATATCTTGTGAGAAATACCTCTCTTGGTGATCTACTAGACAAATGAACATTCAGCTGTACGGTTATCTCTGTGACTAGGGTTATCTCTCCTCCCTTGCAAAGCTCATAATTCTTTGACCTTCTATTAACCAACTGCATTTGTAGTTGGAATTTCATTGTTATTATTAAGTTTTCTAGTTACCCCTTTTCTTTTCCCTATCATGTTTTCCTGACTGTCTCAGATGTATCTTGAGAGGTAATTGATATTCTAATTTGTCTTATGTCTTGGACAACTAATTAAATATAATCGGTAAATTGTCATCCAGAACTTTGGAAAACTTAATTTTGAGAATTGCTAAGTTGTTCAGAAATGCCTGTAGAATAGAAGTCTAAATCTGTGAAGAAAAGATTATTACTGCTTAAAATAAACATAATACCTGCTATAACAACATTTAAGCCCCATTGTATTAATTTTAGGATTAAAAGCTGCAGAAGTGTCATCACTCCCACCATCAATTGTCTTGGATGCCAAAGAAATCACAACTCAAATTACCAGACAAGTTTTGGTAAGAAACTTCTTAGCAATAAGAATTGGTTTTCCAATTCAAGAAAATACTTTTAGTGTACATTTTTATAATGGTGTTGTATCTAAGTATATAATAATATTAATAATTAAACATTTAAATAAAAACCTAATTCTAAATAAGGCAAATCTTTTTTTACTTCTCACAATTTTTTTGGTTTGGTCTATTTCAACCTTTCCCAACAAGTCAACTAATAAGATAGTAGACAAAGGTTAAACAGTTCAGTTCCTATAATACTTATTGCTACACTAACTTTATGATGAGAAAATAAGTCTATATAAAGTAAGCATTACAAATAAAAATCACATATTCCCTAGGTGGCTCAGTCAGTTAAGTGTCTGACTCTTGATTTTGGCTTAGGTTGTGATTTCAGGGTCGTGAGATCAAGCCCCGAGTTGGGCTCTGTGCTGGGTACAGAGCCTGTTTAAGATTCTCTCTCTCCCTCTCCCCCCACCCCCACTCATGCTTGTTCTCTCTAAAAAATAAATAAAAATAAAAATTACTATGCACCACACTTTCATATCCTTTAAAATAGTTTTTAAAATTCTTATCCATTATCATATATAAGCCTCATGACTCTTCATGAAGTAGTTAGGTCTTTCTAATATAAGATTAATAATAAAGCTGTTATTTTTACTCATGTTTTTACAACTGAGGTTCGCAGAGGTTAAGTGTTTTGCTAGGAAGCAGTAGATTTATCTCTGAACTCATGTTGATTCAAAATTTGGAAATCTTTTTTTTTTATAATATCAGGTTGCTTTATGTTTTAAGAATGCAGTGTGTTCAGTAAACTAAGCTAGGTGCATTATGAAATTTTCTTCAGTAGTAGTGGTTTCCTTTGTCTTTCCCTCTTTCTTAACCTACTTTTAATTTTTATTGTATCCCTTCAGTCTCTTGAGTTTCCAGACTATATGACCTTACTTGCCTAATCCTCCATTTGAATCTCTTCAACAATTTTGGCAGTGTCGTGCTTCTGAAGATTCTCTCATTACCTAGTTCCTCAGACTTCATCTTGCCAAATTCCAATTATGGCAAGCCTTCTCCAGTTGCCTTCTAGGCTTTGGCTTTCCTAATAATGATTCTCAAAATATATTCAAGACAAGCTAATCTTATCTACTGTCAATTCATATATTCTACCTTTAGTCAAATATTTTACTGGATAGTTTTTTCCCCTTTTATTGATCTGTATAGTTTCTTTAACTCTTTCAAAACATTTCTACTCTTCCTAAACCCTCAATGTCCTCACTGTACAGAAAATTCACTTCCTATATTTTCTGAGAGACTTGAAGTTATCATGATGAATCCTTGAACTTTTTCTCCTTAAAAACTCTATTTTGGGATTTCTGTTTTTCACCCAGTTCTCTTCCTTTCTATCGCAGAGGAAGAGATTACCTTTCAACTTATTTGAGGTTAACTTTTCTTCCTTCTTTCCATCTCCACTAAGATATAACTTCATAAGTTTCCTTTCTTCTCTCTCTTTTTTTTCTCTCTCTTTTTTAAAGATTTTATTTTTAAAATAATCTCTACACCCAACATGGGGCTCGAACTCACAACCCTGAGAGCAAGAGTCACATGTTCTACTGACTGAGCTGGTCAGGTGCTCCATTTTTTTAAAGATTTTTTTAAAAGTAATTTCTTCTTTTTTTTTTTTTAAGATTTTATGTATTTATTTGAGAGAGAGAGAATGAGAGAGAGCAAGCACATGAGAGGGGAGAGTGTCAGAGGGAGAAGCAGACTCCCCACCGAGCAGGGAGCCCGATGCGGGACTCGATCCAGGGACTCCAGGATCATGACCTGAGCCGAAGGCAGTCGCTTAACCAACTGAGCCACCCAGGCGCCCAAAAGTAATTTCTGTACTGAACGTGGGGCTTGAGCTTACAACCCTGAGATCAAGAGTCATATGCTCTACCAACTGAGCCAGCCAGGCACCCCTTGTTCCCATTCTTCTCTTTGCATCCTTAGTGTTTATTCACTGGCTTTTCTTTTTCCTATGAATATGCTTAGGTTTATCCTAAGAAATCCTTCTTTATTACCTTACTTCTCAAAAGATATTTTTTTTTTTTTACTGCCAACTTCTTAAGAGTAATAACTACTTACTTCTTCCATTTTTCACTTGCAAACTAGATCTTGTCATCATGCCACTGAAACTTTCTTTGTAAAATACCAACTAATGATGAACTCTTATGGCCTCTTTTTCACTTCTCATCTTCCCTGGTCTCTCCGTGGTATTTGATACTACCCTTCTTTCCCTTTTCATAATTCTTCCCTGTCTTGGCTACTATGAAATTGTCCTCTCCTGGATGTCTTCATTTTCCTACCTCTGAATACCCCTTTTTTTCTTTCTTCAGTGCTTTTTTTTTCTTTTCAAATTTGTATTTAAATTCTAGTTAATTATGTAGTTTAATATTGGTTTCAGGGGTAGAATTCAGTGAGTCATCACTTAGATACAATACCCAGTGCTCATGATAACAAGCACCCTCCTAATACCCATCACCCATCTAGCCCACCACCCCCACCTCCCTCAATCAACTGTCAGTTTGTACTCTATTGTGACTCGTCTCTTACGGTTTGTTTCCTTCTCTTTTTTTCCCCTCCCTCCCATATATTCATTTGTTTTGTTTCTTTAATTCCACATATGGGTGAAATCATATGGTATTTGTCTTTCTCTGATTTATTTTGCTTTAGCATAATACACTCTAACTCCATCCATCCATCCATCTTGCAAATGGCAAGATTTCATTCTTGGCTGAGTGATACTCCATTGTATATATATACCAATTCTTCTTTATCCATTCATCTGTTGATGGATATACGGGCTCTTTCCATAGTTGGCTATTGTTGATAATGCATGTAGCCCTTCGAATCTGTATTTTTGTATCCTTTGGGTAAATACCTAGTAGTGTAATTGCTGGGTCATAGGGTATTTCTATTTTTAACTTTTTGAGGAACCTCCATACTGTTTTCTAGAGTGGCTGTACCAGTTTGCATTTCCACCAACAGTGCAAGAGGATTCCCCTTTCTCTGCATCCTTGCCAACATCTGTTGTTTCCTGTGTTGTTAATTTTAGCCATTCTGACTGGTGTGAGGTGGTATCTCATTGTGGGTTTGATTTGTATTTCCCTGATGATGAGTGATGTTGAGCATCTTTTCATGTGTCTGTTAGCCGTCCGGATGTCTTCTCTGGAGAAATGTCTATTCATGTCTTCTACCCATTTCTTAACTGGATTATTTGTTTTTTTAGCTGTTGAGTTTAATAAGTTCTTTATAGATTTTGGATATGGACATTATCAGATATGTCATTGGCAAATATCTTCTCCCATTCTGTAGGCTGCCTTTTGTTGATTGTTTCCTTGGCTGTGCAGAAGCTTTTTATCTTAATGAAGTCCCAATAGCTCATTTTTGCCTTTGTTTCCCTTGCCTTTGAAGACATGTCTAGCAAGAAGTTGCTGCAGCCGAGGTCAAAAAGACTGCTGCCTGTGTTCTCCTCTAGGATTTTGATGGTTTCCTGTCTCACATTTAGGTGTTTCATCCATTTTGAATTTATTTTTGTGTATTTCACCAGTGCTTTTTATCGTTCTGCTTATTAAATGAAAGTTTTCCTAAGATTTTGCCCTTCCTTCTGTGTTTAAAACTATATTCTTGGTGAGCTCATCCTTTCCTTAGCTTCCATTTTCACTTCTTTTTGACCTTGAATCTATATATTTTTCTCCGTATTTCTTCTTGAAATCTCAACTTACATTTTCACTCTTTAATAGGACCAAAATTAAATTTATCATATGAAAAATCTTCCCATTTCTTTGCTTCCAAATTTCCCAGTGACCCATTAGAATAATCTTTGAATCCTTCTTAATCACCTCTTATTAGGACTATGCAGTGGATTCTCTCTCTTTTTCAATCCATCCTACATACTTCTACCAGATTGTCTCTTTTTTTTTTTTGTATTGTTTACTTTTTTTTTATTATGTTATGTTAATCACCATACATTACATCATTAGTTTTTGATGTAGTGTTCCATGATTTACTGTTTGCGTATAACACCCAGTGCTCCATTCAGTACGTGCCCTCTTTAATACCCATCACCAGGTTAACCCATCCCCCCACCCCCTTCCCCTCTAGAACCCTCAGTTTGTTTCTCAGAGTCCATAGTCTCTCATGGTTCGTCTCCCCCTCCGATTTCCCCCCCTTCATTTCTCCCTTCCTACTATCTTCTTCTCTCTTTTTTTTTTTTAACATATATTATTTGTTTTAGAGGTACAGGTCTGTGATTCAACAGTCTTACACAATTCACAGCGCTCACCAGATTGTCTCTTAAGCATAACTTTTATCATGTTTCCCTGTTCAGAAACTTTTGGTTGTTTCTTACCAAATTAAAGTGAAACTCCTTACCCTACTGTTAAACATTTTCTATGATTATTTCTCAAAATATAGTCTTAGAATTACCTACATTAGAATCACCTGTGATATCAGGGACCATCCTAGATTTTTGAAGATTTCCTATGGCTTAGGAATTTACATTTTTAACCAGTCTTCTGATGATTCTTAAACACACTAAAGTTTGTTAACTGCCGCCTTATGGTCTCCCTTTGTTTATTACCCCAACCTTAGATAACATTTTTCAGTTTAACTAAAACCTACATTTTTGCCACATTGAGTTACTAGTCATTTCATCATTTTGACCTGTGTACCAGGATTTCTAATGTATCTGCTCTAGCTGTTTCCTCCATCCAGAATGCTTTTACTTCTGTGTTCTTCTATCAAGAGTCATTCCAAATATTCTATCCTACTTAAGCTTTTCTTGACCTGAGCTGGAAATGAGTTCTCCTTCCTCTGAATTTTGAATCTCTCTCATGAGACTTATCATAATTACCTAAATCAGTTGCTTATGAATATGTTTCTTTCACTATAATAATATGTCTCTTTCATTGAGCCTCTTGAGTTCCATTGTCATGTCAGGTAGACATTTTCGTATCCCCCATAGACATAAACACAAGGTCTGGGGCCTGGAATATAGATGATAATAGATATTCAGTATTTATTATTTAGATAATAAACTGATAGTTGATCATTCAATGTATCAGATAGATGGGTGAATACATAATAATCTTATTTTACCTCATGGAGTTGGATTCACTTTTCTTACAGTGAAAGAAGAAAAATACCTTGAATTGCTTTCTATTGAGAAAGAGAGGGATTTTATTTCCCTTAGTAAAGGGAAACTCACTGACTTTACATTAACAGTTAAGATTGAAAATGCTAATTCTTCTATCTAGCTCAGGAAACGAGGTAGATGAAGAATATTCCAGCTGTACTCCCATCCCTGAAGTACTACTCAAAGACTGAATATCTAAAGGCCTTCTAAAATATTAGAAAATTCCTGTTTTAAACATTGTTTCTTGGGCATCCTAACTATAGATTGTTAAGAATTGGCATAATTTCAAGTAGCTATTTATGGCACTTATTTTCAAAATGTAATTTACTCCTCAAGCAATGTATGTCTTAGACTCTAGCAGATTCTATATATGAAATCTCTTGAGAGACAAGCAATTTACTGTTGACCCATTCTGTCTACCAGTTTATCTATTGGGGAATTAAAGTAGGAGATAGCAGAGTACTACTCTGGGTGACATTTAAAGTGAATACTGCATAGCAATGATCAATTATGTTGAGTGAGAAATTTTACCTATTTAGCAGATTTTTTTTCATTCAAAAGTGATTTTCAAGAATATAAGAATCTGTCATAAAGTAGTAAATACTCATGAAAAGTTTTATTCTTTCAAATCCATATTTCTTTATTTTTTCTAGTACATTCTTTGCTAGTTGAATGGAATTGACTTATCCAAAGGAATTAGTTACCTTTGGGTTCTGTATTTCTATGAGAGGAAAGAGAAAATTGCCAGAATTTTAAAACAAATTCATAGTAATCGTATTTTAATTTTTATCTATATTTTTTCAATAACAGCAAAACCAAAGGAGTACCCCTGAGATGGAAAGACAGAGAGCTGTGTACCGTCTAGCTACTAGGCTTGTTCAAACTGCTCGAAACTCTAAATTGGATCCAGACAGTTTACGAATGTATTTAAGTAATCTCAAAAAGAAGTATGAAACAGATTTTTCCAGGGCTGAACAAGTTTCAGGAAAGACCAAAGAATAATAACAATTCACATCATGTACTAATAAAATAATGTATCTTAATATGGGGAAACTAGAATTCATTTTTCCTAAGAGCAAAAGAAAATATTTGCTAAATTTTATGTCTTAATGGAAAATTGCATTATACTAACCTCAGAATTACCATCTATATATTGTCTATAAGAAAATATTTGTTATAACTTAACATATGAAAACCCTTGAAAGGACTGTTTTTTATGTTAGAAAAATGTTAATATAACATTACAGTTCTTTCTCATTTATGAAAATTCATGTTTTTAAGTCTTAAGTGTATTTATACTTACAAGTTATGGTTTAAGATGTTATTGTAAATACCTTAATTTTGGGGAGAAAAGCCTTTTTTTTTTTCCAGTCTGGAAACTTATGTGAGTTCTTTTACACTCTCTTCTGAAGCAATAAGACCCTATGGCTTAACAATTGCTTAATTAGTACCCCCAAATTCCAACACTGGATACTTATGGAGTTTGTGAGAATGATACTGGAAATTTTGAAGTATTTTTTTGACATTGAATATAGTTCTAAAGGGTGAAAATAAATAAATAGATATTTTGTAATGCAGAGAATGTTTTTGGAAGGAGAGTTGCCATCACCTACCCTTTCAGTTTTCCAAATACCAGGCATTCCATTTTCTACTCACCAACCTCTTTTCCAAGTTTCATTTTTGGCCATCTTTTTTAGGTGAGTAACCAAAGCAGCAGAAAGGTAATACTGATTGATTTGCCTCAGGGAGCATTTTATAGAACTCTTTTCCGTAGGCATGTGGCTTACACCATCATTTCAGAGTTTACCTGAGGTCATTCTTGTTTCATAAATGGACACAAAAAAAAGGAAGACAATCATTTGGTCATTACCTGTAAAGAGCAGGGCTGTTGTCTTCTCAAAACCGTTTTTCTACAATTCCTTCTTACATAATCTCAGCACAAAGGCCTAAGATGGGAAGTTATTCTTTTCTTGGACAATTAAGTATCTGGAACTCAGGGTATACATTCAATAAACTGTAGAATTCATAGTAATTTGGCCAAAAAAATATATTCACAGACTGGTTAGGGCCCTATTTTTTGTTAATGTATGCATATTTTATAAAATCTAATCTTTTTTACTGTATTAAATTCTTAATAGATATATTGAAAAAGTTATAATTTGAATGACATACATACTTTTTGAAATGTAAATGTAAATTAGTGTTCATATTTTAGTTTGATACATGTTAAACATCCCATTAGACTACTTATATTCCCTATTGTCATGTTTTAGAAAGAGAGCACCACAATATTTGAATTTGACCATTAGCCATTTTTTAATTCACAGTCTTTGAAATGAATTATATTTATGTAGGCATTCCTAAGAGCAGTTAGATAATTCAGGTTTGCAGGAAATTTCTAAAAGGAACTGAGGATGTAAAGGGCATGGCAGATTGTTTGGGAAGAAAAGGGAAGGAGCTATAAAAGGCAGAAGGGGAGTATGCAGTGGGAAAAAAAACAGGCAAGCAGAGATAAGTGCAAAGTATTAAATATGCAGAATATCATTTCCTTAAATATATTAATTTCCCTCTAGGTTTAATCCTAATATTAGATTCCACCAGACTTTTAAGAAATTTTTCATGATTTAGATCTTTCAATGCAGAAACTGTAGCCAACTGATTAATCCCTTTTATTTTAGGTTTAGAATACTGAAATAAAAATAAATTTATATCTTCTTAAAATTAAATTACTTTTTCTTCAATCGTTTTGTGTGTAGCTGAAACATACAAAAAAGCAAATTAAATGAAGATATAATTATTATGTTGTGGCACTATAGAATAGAAGTGAATACTAGTGAGACAATTCATTCTTTAATTTTAAGGTCTATTTGCTCTTCTCTTCAGTACCTTTTTGCTTTGCCTTTCTCTAAAATTATAGATCATTATCTCATAATCCAGCCTTTTAAGATAAATGTTCACAATGTTGTAGCAGACTCCTTTAATTTCCACCTCAAAGCCATTCTTTTAGTCTCTTCCACCTTTCTCCTCACATAAAGTAGTCTTCTTTAAGTCTAGGATTAAGGTATGTGGGAGTCGAAGAAAAAGGCAGCTTATACTCATGCTTAGGAAGTAGTGCATTTGTTTGTTTTAAAATTTGCATACAGTAAAATTAACTCTTTTTTGATGTAAAATTTTATGAATTTAGCACATTTATGGATTCATGGAACCACTATGACGATCAGTTTCTTCACCAAATACCAAACAGTTCCTTCACCTTCACATCATTCCCTTAGTACTGTCCCTTTGTTGTCAAATCCTTCCCCCTGGCCCCTAACTTTAACCCAGCAATCACTGGAAATCAAGCATTTCATCCCTATAGTTTTGTTTTTTCCATAATGTCCAACAAATGGAATATATAGCATGGAATCTTTTGAAACTGGTTTCTTTTACTCAGCATACTACTTTGTAGAATTTGTCCATGTTGTTATGTCCTTTTATTGCTGACTAGTATTTCATTGTTTGTATGTACCATAGTTTACCCATACACTCATTGAAAGACAATTGGGTTTCCAGTTTTTGGTGATTATGAATGAAGCTGTTTAAACATTCTTGTATAGATTTTTGTATTAAGTTTTAATTTACCTAGGCTAAATAGGAGTGGAATGGATCTGTCATCTTGTAAGTATGTGTTTAACTTCATAAGAATTTGCCAAACTCTTTTCTAAAGTGGTTCTTACATTTTGCATTCCTAGCAGCCATGGATGAGAATGTTCCACATGTTCTCTAGCATTTGGTATTATCAGATTTTTTTTTAAATTTTAGCCATTCTAATAGGTATGTAGTGAGTAATGCATTTTTAAATTTTAAAGCTATTCTGCTAACTTTTTAGCAAGCAAAAGCTACTCTGACTTTTTTAAACAAATTATATCACTATCTTATATGCTAGTGTTAAAAAATATTCAAATGTTAATAAATTGTGTGTAGTATGAACTTCCTGCATGCTTATTTATGAGCTTAAAATATGCTCAATTGTAATTAAATATACTTTAGTTAAGTATATAAATTCAATTCTATAATGCATTTGTACCTCACAGGAATGAAAATGGAAGGAAAGGAAAAGCAAATGATCTAGTTATATTGCTACTTTGCTATTTCCATTCTATTTAGAAATTTAAATCACACAGTTGTTTATCTTACTATAGGACCAGAATGAATACCCTTTTCCTATAAATTGTCCAAATTTTGATAGTCCCCAGATTGCAAGTAGACAGTGAAAAAGGCTACTAAGTGCCATAATCTACTAAAATGGATCCTAAAATAGATAGTATTGAGGTGAGAAACAGATTTTCATTGTCAAGAACTGTGACGATGTATTGTTTCAGAGGTACAGGTCTGTGATTCAACAGTCTTACACAATTCACAGCGCTCACCATAGCACATACCCTCCCCAGTGTCTATCACCCAGCCACCCCATCTCTCCCACCCCCCACCACTCCAACAACCCTCAGTTTGTTTCCTGAGATTAAGAATTCCTCAAATCAGGGCACCTGGGTGGCTCAGTCGTTAAGCGTCTGCCTTCGGCTCAGGTCATGATCCCAGGGTCCTGGGATCGAGTCCCACATCGGGCTCCCTGCTCGGCAGGAAGCCTGCTTCTCCCTCTCCCACTCCCCCTGCTTGTGTTCCTGCTCTCGCTATCACTCTGTCAAATAAATAAATAAAATCTTTAAAAAAAAAAGAATTCCTCAAATCAGTGAGAGAGGGGGCTGGGGGAATGGGTTAGCCTGGTGATGGGTATTAAAGAGGGCATGTATTGAATGGAGCACTGGGTGTTATACGCAAAAAATGAATCATGGAACACTACATCAAAAACTAATGATGTATGGTGATTAACATAATAAAAAAAAAAAGAACTGTGACGGTGGAACTATGTATGGTGATGGATGTTAACCAGACTTACTGTGATCATTTTGCAATATATACAAATGTTGAATAACTATGTTGTATTCCTGAAACTAATATAATGTTGTATGTCAATTATACCTCAATTTAAAAAAAAAAAAATTGTGAAGGGCCTGAGATTTTTACCTTACTTGCAAACTAGCAGTTTAGCTTACCATAGTTTCATGTGTGCTGTCAGAAGACAAAGGATTCTTGGGTCAGAAACAAGACTTTATTGCTAATGGCACATCATGCAGCATGAGCTTCATGTTTGTGTTGGTTTCAGGTATCCCCATCCTCTAAGATATGGAGTGGTCCAGTTAGATATGTACACAGTGGATTTATACTATAGCTGAGGAACCCCGAGCTAGGGAAACCCTTTTATTATAATGAGCTTCTAGCAAACCTGCTTGACCTTTTTTTCCAGAGGAAGACATTACCTTTATTATACTAGACCCTGAACAAACCTGCCTCTGCTCAGAGGGGTACACTATCTCTGTCTTCCAAGGCTGTTCATTATACAAACATCCTTAAAAAGGTAGTCAAATATATAAACAGTTGGTGCCTCTGCTCAAAAGACAGGCAGAAATGTGATTACCTGTGGAAAATTGTCTCCCAGTTCTCTTCTGTGTATTACAGCAGTTTGACCACCTTGTTATATGGAGAAAAGTCTAGTACACTACATACTCAAAAAGAAAAGAGCTAAAAAATTGTAGTAGAATAAATTTTATTTTTTTAAGATAATAAATTTCTTTGCAACTAAATATACAAATTTAATTTTCATTTTGATGTTATATTGGATCAAAACTATTCTTTGCTTTCTTTGTATCAAAATCCATATAGTTTGGGGGTGGGTGAAATGGGTAAAGGCAATAAACAGGTACAAATTTCCAGTTATAAAATAAGTTCTGGGGATATAATGTACAGCATGGTGACTATAGTTAAAATTCTGTGTTGCATATTTGAAAGTGGCTGAAATGAGATTTTAAGTGTTCTCATCACAAGAAAAAAAATTATAACTATGATGATAGATGCTAATTAGACTTACTGTGGTGATCATCTTGCGATATATATACATATATTGAATCATGTTATACACCAGAAAATACATAATGTTATATGTCAATTATATCTCAATTTAAATAGTAGTACTGATCTAGTATTTAGAAGTATCACACACCAAAACACTAAAGCTCCATATTGTTTTTGAGGGCTAATTATTTCCAAATATTATTCATTTCTGTCCTCTTATTACTGACTCCCACCCTTTAGTCAACTAATTCTTCACCT